TCCTCCTCCTCCTCCTCCTCCCTCCTCCCTCCTCCCTCCTGGCGCTGCGCGAATCACTACGGCTGTGACCTCAGATCTGCCAGCTGCGTCATGTCGGACTCTTGGTCGGCCCCCTCCGCCATGTCCCGCGCGTCGCCCAGCGCCTCGTTGACGCCGTCGCCATCGTTCGCAGCCGCGCTGGGATAAGCAGCGTACCCTTCCATCACCTGGATGCGGTTATCGGTCGTCTCGTAAACGGCGCCGTCATCCAGCAATTGAGATACGGCCGCCTCGGTCTCCGTGGGCGACAGGCCCAACTCCGTTGCTGCGACGGCGCCCAGATCTGCGCAACTTGCTCCGGCAGTCGAAGGTCCGCCCGCGGAGGCCAGCCATGCCAGAAGGCCGTCGAGCGCCCGAGCGAAACGCGTGTCTGCGCTGACAGCGGCAGCGCTTGCACCCAAGGACGTCGCAACGGTCGAGCCTTGATTTGGATCTCCGGGCGCGCTTCCCAGAGCAGTCCGCAGGGGGACTCGTCGAATGTCGAAGGGCCCCTGAAGACACCCCAGGCGGTTCCCCGTATGGGGCGCTGAAACCAGCGCTCCGCCTGAGACATCTTCACACATTGTTGTAAACGCGGGAAGCGTTGAGCACGGAGACAGACAAGCCGCCCGAGACATCCCCACAAAATGGCCGCGAGCGGGCCCGTGACAACACTCCCTGGCGGCTCCCCATGCAGGGTGCCGAAACGAGCGCCCCGCTTGAGACATCCTCACAATCTGCTCTGAACGCAGACGCTGTTGGCCACCGGAACAGGCAAACCGCCCGAGACTTCCCCACGAACTGGCCGCGAACGGCCCCAAGCAGTACCCCCTGGCGGCACCCCTTGGGGGGTGCTGAAACCAGCGCCCCGCCTGTGACATCTTCACATGCTGCTGACAACACAACCGATGTTGGGCACCGCAGCACGCAAACCGCCTGAGAGGCCATGCGATACCTTCTGGCGGCTCCCATCAGGGGTGTTGCAACCAACGCCGCAACTGAGACACCCTCCGAATGTTCTACATATGAATGAATGACAGTGGCGCAGTTTTGGCATGCGTGAATCCGAGAGAGCACGAGTATGAGTGAGTTTGAATGTGAACAACTCTGAATATTATGAGTGCGAAGGAATCTGAGTAGGGACGAATCTAAGTAGGATGATGCGAGAATAGGAGGCCTGAGGGAGGAGTCGGCGGCGTCAGAGTATTAACAAGAACCCCAGATTGGGACATGGGGAGTAATGGGAAACTTATTATTATGAAGTTTATTACTAATTAGATGTACCAGTAATATCACAACGATGCATTTTCATATTAAGAAGATTCTGATACGACGAAGAGTAACGATACTTATCCAGGCGAAGGACCCAACCATATGCAGTTGTGAGTAACGCGTTGTGGGTGACGCTTTCGGTGGAATTCCTTATGGGGCCACGAAGCGCGTGAGGGACGTGCCGACATGGGTGGGGGAGACGCATGCGTTCGGTGCCACTGGGGCCTTCGGTGGGGCTCCCCATGGGCCACGAAACGCTGTACTTGATGTGGCTGACGCATGCGGGCGGTGCCCCCCGGTGGAGCTCTCGATGAGGCCGCGAAGCGTTGTACTGGTCGGGGGAAACGCATGCGGGCGGTGCCGCTGGGGTCTTTGTTTGGAGCTCCCTACGGGGGCACGAGACAATGTGCCGGGGAGGCGCATGCGGGCGGTGCCAGTGGGGCCCTTCGGTGGAACTCCGTGTGGGGCCACGGGAGGGGGGGGCGCATGCGGGCGGTGCTTTTCGGGCGTTCGGTGGAGCTTCTATGGGCCCACGAAGCGCTGTACTGGGTGTGGCTGACGCACGCGGGCGGGCTACTGGAGCTCTCTGCGGGGCCACGACACGCTGTGCCGGGTGGGGGGTCGCATGCGGGCGGTGCCACTGGGACTTTCGGTGGAGCTCCCTATGGGGCCACGGAACGCTGTACTGGGTGGTGGCTGACGAATGCGGGCGGTGCCAGTAGGGCCGTCGGTGGAGCTCCGTATGGGCCCACGAAGCGCTGTATTGGGCGGTGGCTGACGCATGCGGGCGGTGCCTCTGGGACCTTCGGTGAGGCTCCCTGTGGGGCCACGAAACGCTGTACCGGGTAAGTGGGGCGCATGCAGGCGGTGCCGCTGGGGCTTGGTGGAGCTCCCAAACAATGGGGCCGCGAAGTGCAATATTGGGTGGTGGACGACGCATGCGGGCGGTGCCATTTGGATCTTTGTGTGGAGCTCCCTACAGGGCTACGAAAGGCTGTACTGGGTGGTGGCTGGCGCATGCGGGCGGTCCCACTGGGACCTTCGGTGGATCTCTCATGGGGCCACGAAGCGCCGTACTGGGTGTTGGTTGACGCATGCGGGCGGTCCCATTGTGACCTTCGGTGGAGTCCCTACGGGGCCACGAAACGCTGTACTGGGTGGTGGCTGACGCATGCGGGCGGTGCCACTGGAGCCTTCGGTGGAGCCCCAGTGTGGGGCCACGAAGCGCTGTGCTGGGTGGTGGCTGACGCATGCAGGCTGTGCCGCTGGTGCCTTCGGTGGAGCCCCCTATGGGGCCACGAAGCGACGCACGCGGTCCCATTGGGGGGTTCGGTGGA